GAGGGAAGGTCGGCACGATCGTGATTCACCCTCTCACGAGTTTTAAATCCCCGTGAATCTTCCCTCGTTTCAATCGACGTAACACATCGGTCCTCGACGAGGGTTTGCTAAAGCCGTTCGTACGTAAGTCGTTCGTTTCATCCAGTAGTCGGCGCGATCGTCCATGTTATAACTATAGAAACGCTCTCGGCTTCGTTGACCACCACGTCGACTCTTGTCCGACCTATTCCGGCGATTCTAGCTTTCGGTTCGTGCGCTCCGACCGTTCATTGATTTCTCGGATTGCCATATCTCGCGCGTTCTACGCCGGCCCGATCGCGCTCGCCTCGATCTCGTCTCGGGGGAGGATTTCACGAGCGAGTGATTGTTCTTCGATCCGGTTTTCGCGAAATGCGAGCGAGTTACGCGGACGGTAATGTCGACGAGAGAGAGCGTATACACGGAGGGCGACCTTATCGGCCTTTCGTGCACGCAGACTATCGATTCTCGCGCGACAAGGGGTTGGCCTGACGCCGCCTGACGCCGCCGCCGCTTCCGCCGCCGTTGTCGTTTCGCCCGACGCTAATTTGTAGCTCCGCGGCGTTCATGGACACAAACGCCTCGTTAGCCGAGCTCTCGACTGCGTGCGAGAGAAACGCTTCGTGGACGCGTCGCACCGTGCGATATATTCCTCCCTCCCCTACTCAGATATGTACTCTTTCTCTCGTTCGCTCGATCATCTCCCCGTGAGTGTACTCTCTCTCTTTCTCTCTCCGCTAGCGGCACGTGCGAAAATACGTTCGCGGATGACGTCACGGGAATGCGCATCGACCTCGAAGATTCGATCGGCGGCGGCGGCGGCGGCGACTCCACGTTTCCCGCCACCGTCGCCGGCGATCAGGGTTGATTTAGAATCACGTCCATGCGCGCTAATTCGAGGACTCAGGCGCATCGACCTCGCCGCACATAGTACACGCGCGATGCACCCGCCTGATAGTAGTAGGCAGCGCGATATCGTCGACGAACGGGGGCTCCTTCCTTCGCGGCAGGTGGTTCGCGCGCATCCCGTGCGCGTGATTTGACAAATCGAAACGGAACAACTACGTACGTACTCGTACGTATGTACGTAGTTGCGACACGGTCGCGCGTAGTCGCGCGCGCATTGTCGCGCACGCTTTTGTAAACCGCCGAGTGTGTAACTTTTTGCCCAAGTAGACGTTACAAAGGAACGACGTTACACACAGACGGCAGTGAAAAGCCGATACATCTGTCCCTTTCATTTCAATGCGCGCTCAACACTTTTTACATGATACATTCGTATGTCTATTTATATTCGCGAGTTGTTCGCTTTGCCTTTTACGCCTCGCGGCGAACAATCGTAACACCGGTAAATGTTTCAGATCTCTTTACGATGAAATGATGTTTCAATTTTCTTTATATTCTTCTTAGGCTCGAGACTGTTTGCGGAAAATTCGAATTTGCGAAATCTGATCCCGAGGAAAACCCTCGTCGTTTCTCACTTCTTGTGTTTTTTTTTCTTCCCCGCAATATAAAATTTCAATTTCATTCGGGCTACGGAGACGCGCGTCTCTCATCTCCAATCGAGGACTCACGCTAAAATTTAAATCTAAAAATATCATCGTGGAAGCGCCCTTCCATTGAATCGCGTCAAACGGATTTATCGACGCGTACTTTAACGCGTCGATAAGTAAAGATATATTCGGCGCTGTGCGCTCCAGAATAGAAATACTTAAAAAAAAAAAAAAAAAAAAAAAAAACTTGCTCAGCGAGCGAAATAAACGCAATGGGGAACGCTTCGACGAGAAAGGAGTTAATTAAATGCAAAAACATGCGCGCAAATATGCGATAAATTCATTAAAAAAATGAGATAATGCGCGAGGCAAACGATAAAAAGAGCGTTTTAACAAACTTTTAAGTTTGTCGAATAAAATATTTCTTATTCCGCCGAGTTTCTCGTCCGATTTCTCATCTTCTCTAATTGTGTGTTATACATGTTTAATCGCAATTGTGTAATCTCACGTGTTTCTGCCCCCCCCCCTCCCCCGTAATAGCAGCTTGAGCGCGCGTATTTCGGGCACCAATTATTTTCCTCGCAGCGAGGATGTACTTTTTTTTTTGTTTTTTGTTCGCTGCGTCATAAGCGCGAAAGCGCAGATGAAAGTTGGATGAATACACACACAGTGTTTCTCTCGTACACACAAAGACACTAGGATTAAAAAACCGGAGAGCAATTCTAACGCCGGTATATTCGCGCTAGACAAAATCTCGAATCGTGTAACAAGCGGCTTTTGATTAAATGTCGAACGTCGCACAATTGTTATCGCAAGAGTAACATTATAAGTAGAGCAACCTCTCGATTTCGTTTCGTCAATTTTTGCGAATCGGCCCGGTCTCTGCGAGGATTCGAATACGGGCATCGATGAACGGCCACCATTGTGACACGTTTCGTCGGCCGCGCCGCATGTAATCCAAATGAGATTACGGGACCGTCAAAGCGATCGGCAAAATCGGGAGATGATACGTTGCGAGATAAAATCATTTCGCAATAAAACGCGCTCTCCTCGCGCAAAGGTCGCTTGATCCTCTCTCAGGCATTACGATCCTCTCAGACTCGCTAACAAACGATGATTCCGATGACCGAGTGAGATTTTTTTAAACATAATCCTCGAGAGTCCCGCATAAATTTTTTCATCCCAACGAATCGTTTTACAGGTGTAGAATATAAATTAAAATCGAGACGAGTTTCGATCATGCGACGAAAGCGTCGATGCATGTTCGCAGATCACCTGGGTTTCTGTGAGTCGGGGCCGGCGGTAGCAGAGCTGCGATTCAAAATGAACTTGATTAATATGGACGCGGAAAACCGCGTGGTTTTGAACGTGGGCGGGATCCGACACGAGACGTACAAGGCGACCCTGAAGAAGATCCCGGCGACGAGGCTGTCGCGGCTAACCGAGGCCCTCGCCAATTACGACCCGATCCTCAACGAGTACTTCTTCGACCGTCACCCGGGCGTCTTCGCTCAGGTGCTCAATTACTATCGCACGGGAAAGCTGCACTATCCCACGGACGTGTGCGGCCCGCTCTTCGAGGAGGAGCTCGATTTCTGGGGGCTCGACTCAAATCAGGTCGAGCCTTGCTGTTGGATGACCTACACGCAGGTATATCGTAAGCTAATAACATGTCTGACATGTGCACGCGCGCCATGTGTGATCATCACGCCTATTTAAAAGCGCGGGGCTGCACGCGAAATTTTCGTTGTGGAAATACACGGACGAAATTGCGAAATTTTCATGTCGCTGTGTATGGAACGTTGACGTACGCCTATATGTTGTAGATTTACGAAGATATGTACGTCAAAAAGAGATGTACAAAGGATATGGCGCGTCGCGAGGTAAACTTTTCCAGCATTTTCAGCAGATCGTATCAAACGACCTACTAAACACGCTGGAAAGATTGATTATTGCGAGAAGCGCAAAGTACAGACCGAGGAGTAGACGTCTTCCATAAATTACACACTTGTAATCTCGCAATATACGTACACATAAACGTGTCGCCTCAATTGCTTTCGGGTGTCAAAAACTTTTTTTCTGTTTTTGATTTTTTTTTTTTTTTAATATAAAACAATTTTCACTTGTTGAATCTGAGAAATTCCGAGCCATTGGATTGTATATATATATATATATATATATATATATATATATATATATGTGTGAATATTTGCAAATTTTAATTGTGTAAAAAAATAAATATACTACAAAAGATAAAAATATATAATCCGATGAGTGCGTAAAAAACTTGGAATGATACGGGGACGAGTAAATGTACGGGAAAGACTGACTGAAAAATTGAACAGGTTTTCGCTTTTCGCTCGCAAGGAGACGCGCACACAACGGCCCGCGTATCGCTTTTCACGCGCTTTATCTGCTTCAAGACAAAGCACATCCGAGAAAGAGTTTCGCAGGTACAAATAACAATCGTTGTTGCATCTCTCTCTCTCCCCCCACCACCTTCGTCCCACCCACGCCATTGCAGCACCGGGATACGCAGGAAACGCTGACAGTCCTCGACAGGTTGGATCTCGACACCGAGAAGCCTACCGAAGAGGAGCTGGCCAGAAAATTCGGTTTCGAGGAGGCGTACTACGAGGGAACCCTCACGTGGTGGCAGAAGCTCAAGCCTCAGATGTGGTCGCTTTTCGATGAACCCTACTCCTCCGTCGCAGCTAAGGTATTATTTTAAATTCAAAAAAATTGTGAACAAAATTGCCTCTAATTAAAAATTTATGTGAATTTATGTTCAAAGTTTTTGTTTTTCCATCTTTTTTCTTCTATCGATTGCGATTTGTAACAATAATCAGTTTACAAAAGAACACATCGGACGGATTTCTGATTTCAGGTAATTAGCATAATCTCCGTTCTCTTCATCTGCGTTTCGATACTCTCGTTTTGCCTGAAGACCCATCCGGACATGCGAGTGCCGATGATCGTGAAACGTTTGGTAAAGACTGACAACGTCTCGTCCTGGGTGGTGGACAAGACGCGCACCAACGCCCACGACGTCTTCTTTTACATCGAATGCCTGTGCAACGCCTGGTTCACCCTCGAGTTCTTGATACGCATCACCGCGAGTCCGAATCGCTGCGACTTCATCAAAAGCTCGGTGAACCTGATCGACATGGTCGCGACACTGAGCTTTTACGTCGACCTGGCGCTGCAGCGATTCGAGGCTCACATGGAGAACGCCGACATACTCGAGTTCTTGAGCATCATACGCATCATGAGGCTGTTCAAATTGACGCGCCACTCCTCGGGTCTGAAGATTCTGATACAGACGTTTCGCGCCTCGGCCAAGGAGCTCACGCTGCTCGTGTTCTTCCTCGTTCTCGGCATCGTGATCTTCGCCAGTCTCGTGTATTACGCGGAGCGCACGCAATACAATCCGAAGAACGACTTTAAGAGCATACCGCTGGGTCTATGGTGGGCCCTGGTGACGATGACCACCGTCGGTTACGGGGACATGGTGCCGAAAACGTATATCGGGATGTTCGTTGGCGCGCTCTGCGCATTAGCCGGTGTTCTCACGATCGCCCTGCCGGTGCCCGTGATCGTTAGCAACTTTGCGATGTATTACAGTCACACGCAGGCGCGAGCCAAACTACCGAAGAAGAGACGTCGCGTATTACCGGTCGAGCAGCCACGTGTGAGGGCACCAGGCGCGCCTCCAGGTGTTCCCGGCGGGCCTGGGACCGTCGGGCCCCCGGGTTGCGGCCAGCAAATGTCCCATCTGCAGTCTGGTGGGGGCGCGGTCACCACCGGGCCCCACGGCCTCGGCCAGACGCCCGTCGTCGGATGCACCGCCGGCGGCCAGCCGCAGAATCGGAGAATGAACGCCATCAAGACAAATCATCCCAAGGATCCGTTCGCCACGAAAACAGGTAACTCGAACGCGCCCAGTTCTACTGCAGTTTTGCACGATTCGTGAGCTCGACTTTTACTTATCTCGTTAATCTACCCGGCGCGCACAATGAGCAGTGCCCACGAGTAGACATGAAAGAAAGATTGATGTAATTAGCACAGAAGCAATTTAACTCGCGCTTGCTGTGTAATCTGATAGCTCCAATTCCCTACCACTGGCCACTTATGTTATAATTCTGATTAATTAACGAGTTCAATTGCGAAACATTTTCTTTGCGAGATAAATACGCTCAATTATATTTGGAACACGTTTGTTTTTATGTGTCAGTTATAGATTATCAAATCCGTTTTGTGTGATGACACGTGTTTGCTACACGTGTCTGTCTCTGTGTGTGTGTGTGTGTGTGTGTGTGTGACTAAGTTTATTTTAAGTTACCACAAAAGACCGCATCACGCGACATATTTGGATTCGTGAGATAACTCATCTCTCGAAGTCGCGTGAAACTCCGATAATTAAATCCGAAAAAGACGTTTATAGAAAATTAAATCACACAAACATTTGTGAAACTCTTGATGCAAACAATTATTGTTACACTTTCTGTAACAAAATATTTTTGTTGTTGTGTATTAATAAATTTATATTCACGCGCAAAATACATATGTCACGAAATAATCAGCAACAAAAAATAATCAGCAAGCAAAACAAAAAGCGAAACAAAAAATAAAACTTAAACAAATATCGCGTTAAATATTGATTCAGATTTTTAGTCTTTTGCTTTGGTTTTGCGTCTGAAAATCGCGCGAGACGAACGTCCAAAACGGATTGTGATAACTATAAGAACGACACTAGAAAAAACAAAAAAACAAAAAAAGAAAAAATAAAGACATGGAAATGGCAAACGAAAGTGAGCGAAAATCGAGTTCGCAATATCGTGAATCTTTGAAGCACCGATCGAAACCCGGAGCCAATTCTGTAGTGTCCCTTTTTCTTTTTTTTCTCGTATGGTGGGTTGCAGAGGAGGACCGGAGGTATTGTAACCTACGAACCAACGGGACCAAGAGAGCCGGAGATTTGGATTAATCAATTGCGGTCGTAGCGTCCTCAGATGTGGGTATCTCTCACTGGTCGAGATTATTTCGGAGCGAACAGCGCGGCGTGTACATCCTAATAATCCAATTGACCTGGTATAGTCCACGTTTTATCAGGGTGAGAGAGAGAGAGAGAGAGAGAGAGAAAGGATATTCTAAAAACGGAGAGTAAAAGAGGAAATGGATATAAGACGCGTATATATACAATACCTCGCTGCATCGTGGCCTCGCACCTTGCGGCTTCTGTTGCGCATTTCAACGGCTACGCGAAATAAACACTGCCGGCGAGTAGCGTGGCGACTGAAAGATCCGACATTAAAGATCCGGAAAAAGTCCTGCGGCGGGGCTGTCGCCAGACACACACACACGACCGCGAAAGGATATATCTACTTAATTATTTGGGACGCGCGGCGCGGGAAATTTTAACAATACGGAAACACGAAAAAAAAGTATAGAAACCCCGAGACTCGTCCGACAAGAGAAAGAGAGAGAGAGAGAGAAAGAGATAAAGAGAAGAAGTTTTACCGCACGGCGGTCTTATCCACCCCGGTTTTTCTCTCCCCGGTTTAATTCTAGGATTCCGAGTAACGCTATGCACACACACTGTCGGCGCGAAGAAAGCGAATTAACCGCGAGAATCTCTCTCGGCGGTTTGTACCACGAGGGCCATCTATTGATTTAAATAGGCGAACCGTGTAGACAAAGAAAAAAAAATTGAGAACTCGCGTAGAGCAAGTAGAGAAAAAAAAACTTTCCTCCTTCCTTCGCTTCATAATTTGTATTTTTTAATATTCGTAAAAAAAGAGAGAGAGAAAAAGAGAGAATAATACATTTCATCGATAGCGAAGTAAAAACGAATCGATGTATCGACTTTTACTACATTACATCGTTGATGCATCGAGGCATCTTCTCGTTCGAGAAATTTTTATCCGAATCCTTTTTTTTTTTTTGTTTTGCGCTTCGCGTGACGATAAATTTTTGTTTTGCGCTTCGCGTGACGATAAATTTTTGTTTTGCGCTTCGCGCTACAATATATTTATAATTTTTCATTAGACGAGACTTTTATACTTCCGCGATTTCATTACGTCTACTTTTTCCTTCTCTTCTTCTGGTATTTACCGCGACAAGTATCTCCCGTAATCTTCTTTCGAACGTTTTTTAGCCCCCAACAACATCCCGCGATAAAGTAATTTCGACTAAATATCGTAAAAACTTACATTACCGATTGCTGAATAATTACGTTTCACAGTTCTTGTTTTTTTTCGCTTCGCAAAATCTCGCCTTTTTGATTTCGTCTTTCCGAGAATGCAGCGATTAAACGGGCAAACGAAAATATCCCACAAGAGTGCAGCCGAATGTCTTATACCGTCCACCAGACCACCGTGTTTGTGACTCACGTAAACATCGCATCATTCATGGTTTCTAAATTTAAGGTGTAGATTGGATGCACGCGCGCGCGCCTACGCTATGAAAACGGGGACGTAAAAACTTTATTATAACGTTTTGACGCTTGCACGTTTTTCCCGAATGTTGATATCATCTCGCTTTCCGGTCTGCACACGCGTCGCCTCGATACAAAAAAGAGAGAGAAAAAAAAATCGATTACTCATCATCATGAGGAAACCTCGTCCTTATCTTCCAGCGGGAATCGAGTCCGATATCGCGCATCTATGCATTACCAATGCCGTCTCTCTATAGTCGGCGTTTCATTTTCACGAAACTCGCGTAAATCGCAATAAACGACTGTGGAAATTGCATCTCGTTCTCCCTTTCCTCCTCTGTCCCCTCTCCCCAACGCGAGGAAGATACCGATAGATCTGCATCCTCGTATATATATATATATATATATACATATATATCGGCATCCAACCCCCTCCCGTCGTATCGTAGGTTTTCACTCTCTTGGACGTACGTACGATCGTGTTATATCCTCACACACCGATTATCGAAACCTCATATCGGATAAATAAAGCTCTCTCGGATTATACAGTCACGCGCGCGCGCGTTTAGAACCGCCGCCGATGGCGGCGGTGAAACTGCGGACAGGGGGATTGACATACGTATTGACGCGATATCAAACTCACGCGGGGAATCACCAGACAGCCACTTTTAGCGGGGCGCGGACGTTGCAGTGGCGAAAGAGAGAGTGCGGATCTGTGTCACTTTGCGCAAACCGCCGTGAATATCGCCGGGACCAATCCACAGGGAGAGAGCCCTCCCTCTGCTCTTCCTCCCCCCCTCCAGAATACACGAGATATCACTTGTGACATCGTTAACGGAAGCACCCGGGAGCTTCCCTCGTTCTCGCACCCCTCGCTCACTCTTCCCTTGGCGCGGAGCATAAAGCTCGACGTCTCTTTCTATGTACGTTAAAATGTATGTTACGTCCGCCGTGCCTGAGGAGCACGGGGGAGGGGGAACGGAGGAAAAGGAGAAGGAAGCGCAGAAAGGTACGACACACAAAAGCATATCAAACTACAGGGCACTTGTGCGGATTCCCCCGCGAACGCAGTCGGCACTTTTTTATAGACAATCGTCGCACTTTCTCCTCTCCCCACCCTTTCTCTATTCCACCCCTCGATTAAAATTAACAATTCGCGCGCGAACGCGCGTTTTCGGACGATTCGAAGTGGGACAGTCGCGTTTTTTCGGACCAAAAAAAATTTTTTATTACACCTCACGTAATAAAACTCGAAAATGTCTGGAAAAAAAAAAAAAAAAATATGTACTTACATCTGACAACAATAATCGTGTCGCTTGTTCTTCGTGCGCTCTGATTTTACTTCACATCGACATGACGGAAAGTGGATCGCGTTTAATATTAATGAGAGGCTGTAAAAATATACATATAT